AAGGCTCACAGAAAGAACGGCTGCGTGTGTGTTGCACAGTAACCAAATCTCCTGTCCAGCACAGTTGGAAACAACAATGCCCTGCTCAAAAAGAAGACTGCTCTCCACACCACTTAGGATGTGTCACTCGCCACAAGCCCAACAGTATTTCTTCTAAAAAGGTTCACTATGCCTCTTCTGAATCTTCCCTCCCAGGGCTTTGACCAGCAATTGCTCATGTTCCAGGGGTTACTTTGCTTCATTCAAATGCTTGAAATAAGGGTCTGTCCAGATTTCCTTTCGTCCATCATGACTGAACTGGTTCAAAGTTGCTGGCTGCCATAAAAGAAAGTGAAAGGTTGGGAAAAAAGAGTAGGGGGAAGCACTGAGGACAAAAGAATAAAGGCATACAAATCAAGAGGCTGAAATCTTCCGGTCCATTTCACAACTGCCTGTGAACTGCACAGGCCATCGAGGGTGTGCACATCTGGAAAACCGCCAAGTACTTGAAAGATGTCACTTTGTAGAAGCAGTGTGTGCATTCCACATTACAACAGTGGACTTAGCAGGTGTGCCTGGACCAAACAGTGGGGTTAGGCACTGGGTCGGTAGCCCCAAAAGAGTGCTGACTTTTTGCTGCAGAGGCTTAAAATTGCAGTGCGTGATGCTGAACCTAAAGAGAAGTTTGCATAGAAAAAAAACATCCCAGAAGAAACTAAAGAAGCAAAGACTTAGGGCTTAGGAGTAGAGTAAGCTTAAAACACAAGCTAAGGAAAGTGGGCAAGTAAATAAATAAAGACCCATGCATGTCAGAGCTGGTCAAACCTCCTTCTCTTGCTTTAGGTTAGCCAAGTAATAATTAGCCTGTGGCCATTCACTGAAGCTCAACTTTGAGTTATCCACATCCAATCTAATCAGACAGTCCCTGAGATAAAAAGCAGGTCTTCTAAAATAGTAGTCTATATGTATGATTACAGGAAAAATAGAGAGGAATTCCTTGCGAACTATAACATGCATAAGGAAGGAATTCTGGGCACACCCAACAGATGTACCTGTTAGCCAAGGCTGTGCTATGTAATCTCCTCAGTCACAAGGCTAAGGAATTCTCCCAGACACACTCATCCTTAAAACACGCCAGCACACCAGAAGTACAACCTTTAAAATGCTGTCCCATCCAAGAAAGGGTGAGATAAACATACCTTCTAAGTATGAACAATACTAGCAATAGTTTGGGTTTCAAAATCCAGGGCTATTAAATTTCCAATTTTGAGGGTGGTGCAGGACCGGGCAGTGTTTCATTCTGTTGTACATAGGGTTGCTATTAGTCCACGGCACCCAACGACCCTCAGAACAGCCCGTTTCCCACTATAAAAAGTTTTCTTTTGTTTCCAGCACACACCCCAAAACTCTGATGCATGGCGACCTAAGTGTGTCTGTGTGAGACTGTGGCACAGGGTTTTCAGTGGCTGATCCCCCCTAGAATATTGCCAGGCCTTTCTGGAGACACCTCTGGGTAGATTTGAACTTCCAAGCTTACAGTGACATGTAAGTGCTAGTAACATGAACATGTTTGTGCCACTACGGGCCTCCTTCCAGGAGAGCCCACATGGTACAGAGCTTAACTGCTTGCTCCCCAGAACCTTTGCTCCTATCTTTATGAAATCAGTTGCCAGCCTTTTCTTCCTCAGGTTGAATTCTAACTGCCACTGGCGCCCTTCAGATTAGCAGCCAGTCACCAAGTGTTGGTTCTACCCAGGCTTCCTCCTTGATTAAATACCGGTTACATGGGTGGGAGTGGGTGCTGATCCTGAATCATCTTCACTGTTGAATTATAGTTATTGCAAGACACGAAGACAGTGCATGCACAAACTGAAATGGGGTGAGGGTGCTAATTGTTAAGCTATTCCACGCAGTCGGGCAAGGAAACAGGTGCCACTCCTTGCATTTGGTTTGGGGTAATTTCTGAGTGTGGGAAACCAAACTCCTTGTCCTTACTTCAGGGCTTTGTAACTGTTGGGGTGGAACTCTGCTAGCTTAGTCTACACGCTGGTAAAGCCGCCGAAGGTGACAAAGGCAAAGTGTTTGCAGTGGGAACTTTTTTTTTTTTAATTTTTAAAGGGACCTTTCACCTCTGGAATCTCATGGTACTAATGGCATTCCCGTGGAAGCTTCCAACCTATCAGCGAGCCTGGTGACACACTCTTTCAGCAGAACCGGTAAGACTCCACTGAGGGCTGTAAGCGCTAACCCGGAGGTCATCGCGCCATTCAGTCCAGCCAACTTGTTTCCTGCCTTTCCT